ACAACTAGGCCAGTCAATCTAGAGGTTGAGCTGGAAAAAATTAGTAACCAACCGATCTCAACGAGAATATGTAGATAATGATCTCCTATTTAACCCCTCAAAAGTCCCATTCGGTCCCAATGGGGGAAGTTTGAAAAAAAAACGCCTCCATCTTGGATTTTTTTCTCAAATATCTCCGTTTGCATAACTTTTATCGAAAAAACTAAAGATATGTTTTTTGTAGAGAATTAAATTTAGAATATTTTACCTTAAATCATTTTTTTTTTAAATAAATAGTAATAGAGATAGAGCAATTTTTTGTTATACAGTTTATAAATTTTCCAGTTTTTTTAAACCAATCAGCTATAATTTTTGCGTTAACAGTATAGTGTATAAATTTAAGCACTCAAATAATTAAAAACAATGTTTAAATATTATTTATTAAATAAAATTATTGTTAAAAAAATTATTATTAAATTAGAGTTATTAAATAAAATCTGATATGGCGTCATCCTGAGCATCATTTTAGCCTCAACTAAAATACTAAAGTTTGTACAACTGATTCCGTAGCACTGACCATACTTTGAAGAACGTACAAAACCCAATTTTCTACAAGAGCAATTTTTAGAGCACTGATTCTCTTTGAAATTGCAAAAAAATAATTTTAGTAGGTCAGGAGGCTCCACATCTTCTGTTGATTGAATAGGTGTTAGATTGTTTTTTTGATCTTTCTTCCATCCATATTGTAAAGGATCTTGTTGCCAATCCATTCTTGAATCTAAAAAATACAACTTATGATATATTTTCTATAATAGATACATCTTTACAGTTACAATACCTGAAAGTATGTCCTGAGTTTTGCAGAGTTCTCAGTTGGAGGCAAATTAGCTAAATTAAAGGTAGCCTTAAGGGATTCTCAGATGCATTGTAGCGTTTTTTTTAAACAACTACCACTGCGAACGGCAGCTTTTCATCGGAGAGCAATCGTGGATAAGGTATTTCACTGGAAAGAAAACTAATTAATAACAATAAACAGAAGAAATAGATATTGGGCGCCAGGCATGTACAGAGAAAGAAAACACAGTTGTATAATACTTAAAACTAATGACTATATTTATTCATGACGTTCTTTGCTGATACATGACATTGTAGAGTTCTAGTAAATATATAGTGGATATATGTCAAAGAAAGTGGTGGTAGGAGTCGTACTAAATATCAATGAAAACAACTACGATAAAATACAGGACATGTAAAGTTTAAGAGAAAATATGAAATGTAGCATTACTTTAATTAATTTGATATATTCCATATGATGCTAAATCGAAAATGTTACAACCTGTAGATTCTAGAATCTATGTTTGATTATCCATCTATTAAAATAGTGCAATAATATCTATAAAAGTAATACCATTACAAGACGTAATGCAATGAAACCTAAGATCTAAATTATATTTTAAAGATTATATCGACAGGAATGTTCTTAACAATCTAACCACTGAACATAGTCTGTACGATATTACTTAAGATGTACGTTATTGTTTTAGACTGAAAATGTTTTAGATGTTAAATGTAAAACTAGAACTTAAATATACACTTAGCTGTTCTTTTATGTAACCTTGCTTCAAACAGTAGCAGCGTGAGGTGGTCTAGCATCTCTGTACTGTCTGTCGGCGATCCTGTTGGTCAAAACAACAAAAGGGGCCAGATTGAGGACACAATGAATCCTTACAGCCGTAGCTACTGACTAGGCTTAGAAATGGGAGTGAAGCAGCATGGGACTCAAGCTACATCCACGCTGTGGCACTTAGATGTAAGAAAAAATCGTTCTTACTGGGGACACTCGTCCACAGGACATCTGTACATAAGATAATGTCTGTACATAAGACACTACCCGTGCCTTGGAAATAGTCCGTACCTTGGACACAGTCCGTACCTTGGACACAGTCCGTACCTTGGACCCTAAAAATATGAAACTCTTGTTTAAAACCAAACTAGGTCTAATAAACAAACTAAACCTACCTCGAAATACGTCCGAGGGCTCAATAAATAATAAACAACATATCCTTTCTTCCATGTGACATTCTGGAGGACAAAAGAAAAGGGACGCCAACGTGCCAGCAAAACACAAATACAAGTTGGGACAGCCGTAACTCTACCCTAAAAATATTCAATAATAATATCGAATCTATAAAAGGCACTAACTATCTTTACCTGTAGCCTCCAAATAGCAGCTGATTCAAATTATACAGCACGACTTAAATAATCACCATTTCCAAAAGCTGGGATACAACAGAGCGTCAAAACAAAGTGAGGTTAAGCACGGAGAAAGTTGACAGAAGCGATGTTGACAGCGCCTCCTCAGAGCGATAACAGGGTTGTGTCGAACGATAACAGGGTTGGCGACTAGGGAACGTAAAAATTACGCGTCAAATAAACTATCCGGCCTGAACGAGAGGGAATCCGGTGATGATAGGCCAGACATCATATATTATATATAAAAAAGACATGTAACGAACTAAAAATGTTACAGCATGGTTCATATGTTTAATATAGCTTGGGCAGTGATATAGCTTTAAAAGATAATATAATCCTGACCGAAACAAGTCAAAAATGTGCCTGTCGATACTGAAAAGAGATAACGATCTTTGTCAATACCTCGACGTATTTTTAGAAAAAAATCCTAACAAAGATGACTTGTTTGAGTCAGGATTAATTTATCTTTAAAAGCCTATCACTACCTAAACTATATTAAACATATTAACCATCTGAGATACACTCTCTACAATAGGATTACATCAAGACAAGTCCTTAAGACTACCTCCAACTAAGAAGCCTCCAACTGAGAACTCAAATTAACAAAGAGCAAAACTCCATTTACTCAGGACATACTTTCAAGTAGGTAACTGTAAACATATATCTATTAAAAAGAAATGTTATAAGTTGTATTTTTAGATTCAAGAATGGATTGGTATCAAGTTAGATCCTTTACAATATGTATGGAAGAAAGATCAAAAAGGCAATCTGACACCTATTCAATCAACAGAAGATGTGGTGCCTCCTGACCTATTAAAATTAATATTTTGCAGTGCTCTAAAAATTGCTCTTGTAGAAAACTGTCTCTTAAATGTTGCAAATGTTCACTTCAAAGTGTGGTCAATATCAATGCTACGGAATCAGTTGCACAAACTTTTGTACTTATTTTAGTTGACGAAAATAACGCTCAGGATGACATCGTAGTAGATTTTATTTAATAACTTTAATTTAATAATATAATAATAATATATTTTTAATTATTGTTTTAAAGGTTATTTTTAATGCTTAAATTTATACCTGGTTTATCTATACTGTTAACGCAAAAATTATAGCTGACTGGTTTAAAAAACATAAAAATTTATAAAACGTATAGTAAAAAATTGCTCTATCTCTATTACTATTTAATTTAGAAAAAAAAATGATTGAAGGTAAAATATTCTAAATTTAATTCTCTACAAAAATCTTTAGTTTTTTCGAAAAAAGTTATTCAAATGGGATATTTGAAAAAAATGAAAAAATCCATGATGGCGGAGGTTTTTCTCAAACTTCCCCCACTGGGACCAAATGAGACTTTTGAGTTACTAATTTTTTCCACCTCAACCTCCAGATTGACTGGCCTAGTTGTTCAGTTTCGCTTTTGCACTTTCAACATATAGGAACAACATATTATAGGAGCGAATCACTGTGTTTGCCGTATCAGTCACGTTTTGGCCAGTCACGGTTTATTCTTATCTTGGTAACGACCATGATCCGTTATTTTATTTCACGGTGACAAAATCACAGATAGCGTATTTTTGCTCAACTTTTCTATGAAAATATGCTCCAAAATGGTTTTCTCATAAACTAAAAATATAGTAAATACTAGGAGGACCATTTTAGAAAAATGAATCACTTCATTTCGTCATTGGAATTCCTACTACTGAAATATTCCTACTAAAATTTATCTAGCGGAAGGGTTAGTTTTCACTCTCTCCGAACCCATTTTGATTTTATGTGAAAGTCACATGTTATTTCGATTAGCAAAATATAGACACCCTAAATCAAATTCAAATCGGAATATAGGTTCTTAAAATATCTTAAAAAATGTGTTATTTTTTTTAAGTTTTTGAAATTGAGGTAAATTGTGTTAGGTTAGGTTTGGTTTTTCCATGGTTAGAAGAAATTAAGATAAATTGTGTCCAATGAAATTGATTCCAAAAATACGTAGTAGTTCTAGGCCCACGGAATATTCGGACGCCCTGTATAATTATATATTTTATATAAACGGTAAAATGTAGATACTATACCGGGTACGTCTCAAAAGTGGCTCACCCCTATAACTTTTTTACTTTTTCAGATGAAAAAACGAGATTTGGTAAGTAGTATATGACATAAATTGACATCCTCTAATTACACGAGCTTGGGTATCTAACACCATCCCAGATGAATGGAAACAGGGTCTCATTATTAAACTCCCTAAAAAAGGAGATAAATACAGATACCAGTAAGTACGTCCATTTAATTGCATTTCTAAAAGAAAATCGGAAGGATTTTATCAAAAACAGAATTTTAAGAAAAAAGATATAACTCGTTTTTTATTATAATAAAAAAAAAAAAAAAAAAAAAAAAAAAAAAACTACTACTAAAAATGGTTACTTTTGATGCAAAATGCAAAAATCGTGTCAGGATAGTTCACCAAAACCGAAATTTTAGAAATTAAATAAAATAAAAAAAAATGACAATGTTAAATTTTAAAATGTTATATATATATATATATAAAATTTTAAAATACATGAAAATTTTAAGGTGCCCGTTTTTCGTGCCTCTGAGTGTACATATGTGATTTTTTTTTAATTCGATGCCTCTGATCAACGAAATAAATTATTGTATTCAGTTTAACTTAATTTTAGTTCATTTAACTATCTTAAGTATAGTCCACGGAACAGTGGAGCAACCTGTATATCCTGGAATTAGCAGGTACCCTTCAACTACTCAATGTCATACTGACATTAACATTATTATTGTCATAAACATTATGTCCATTTTAAATAAAATGTTTGCCCTGAAGCAGTTTTGCAGGAATAAAGGCTATTCAACCGTATTGAAGCGATGTTTAACGCTGAATGTTGACACGGCATTCGATAATAAGGTATATAGATTACATCAAATTGAGACTGGTCCATCAATAACATCAGAACTGGAAAAAGCTGAAGCTCTTAAATTGTTTAAACAAATGGATATGGTGCGCAGAACTGAAAATGCCTTAGCAGGTTTATACAGAGAAAAGAAAATTAGAGGGTATAAACTTTTAATTTATATTTATATATTTAGTTATGAGTTTAAAAAAATATTGATATTTAGCGCTGTTGATATGCATAGTCAAACATTTCATATTCATGCTAGCACAGTCGAAAGAGAAAATTGAGCATACTTATTAATATTAATAGCATATCTAATATTTAATTAGCACCATGAACTGGAGTTGGGCTAAAACGTGAAATCGCATTAACAGGTACCTGATAACCGTGATTTTTTACGTGGGGAAGACCGAACAACTAGGCCAGTCAATCTAGAGGTTGAGCTGGAAAAAATTAGTAACCAACCGATCTCAACGGGAATATGTAGATAATGATCTCCTATTTAACCCCTCAAAAGTCTCATTCGGTCCCAATGGGGGAAGTTTGAAAAAAAACGCCCCCATCTTGGATTTTTTTCTCAAATATCTCCGTTTGCATAACTTTTATCGAAAAAACTAAAGATATGTTTTTTGTAGAGAATTAAATTTAGAATATTTTACCTTAAATCATTTTTTTTTCTAAAATAAATAGTAATAGAGATAGAGCAATTTTTTATTATACAGTTTATAAATTTTCCAGTTTGTTTAAACCAATCAGCTATAATTTTTGCGTTAACAGTATAGTGTATAAATTTAAGCACAAAAATAATTAAAAACAACGTTTAAATATTATTTATTAAATAAAATTATTGTTAAAAAAATTATTATTAAATTAAAGTTATTAAATAAAATCTGATATGGCGTCATCCTGAGCATCATTTTAGCCTCAACTAAAATACTAAAGTTTGTACAACTGATTCCGTAGCACTGACCATACTTTGAAGAACGTACAAAAACCCAATTTTCTACAAGAGCAATTTTTCGAGCACTGATTCTCTTTGCAATTGCAAAAAAATAATTTTAGTAGGTCAGGAGGCTCCACATCTTCTGTCGATTGAATAGGTGTTAGATTGGTTTTTTGATCTTTCTTCCATCCATATTGTAAAGGATCTTGTTGCCAATCCATTCTTGAATCTAAAAAATACAACTTATAATATATTTTCTATAATAGATGCATCTTTACAGTTACAATACCTGAAAGTATGTCCTGAGTTTTGCAGAGTTCTCAGTTGGAGGCAAATTAGATAAATTAAAGGTAGCCTTAAGTCATTCTCAGATGGTTCATATGTTTAATATAGCTTGGGCAGTGATATAGCTTTAAAAGATAATTTAATCCTGACCGAAACAAGTCAAAAATGTGCCTGTCGGTACTGAAAAGAGATGACGGTCTTTGTCAATACCTCGACGTATTTTTAGAAAAAAATCCTAACAAAGATGACTTGTTTGAGTCAGGATTAATTTATCTTTTAAAGCTATATCACTGCCCAAGCTATATTAAACATATTAACCATCTGAGATACACTCTCTACAATAGGATTACATCAAGACAAGTCCTTAAGACTACCTCCAACTAAGAAGCCTCCAACTGAGAACTCAAATTAACAAAGAGCAAAACTCCATTTACTCAGGACATACTTTCAAGTAGGTAACTGTAAACATATATCTATTAAAAGAAATGTTATAAGTTGTATTTTTTAGATTCAAGAATGGATTGGTATCAAGTTAGATCCTTTACAATATGTATGGAAGAAAGATCAAAAAGGCAATCTGACACCTATTCAATCAACAGAAGATGTGGTGCCTCCTGACCTATTAAAATTAATATTTTGCAGTGCTCTAAAAATTGCTCTTGTAGAAAACTGTCTCTTAAATGTTTCAAATGTTCACTTCAAAATGTGGTCAATATCAATGCTACGGAATCAGTTGCACAAACTTTTGTACTTATTTTAGTTGACGAAAATAACGCTTAGGATGACATCATAGTAGATTTTATTTAATAACTTTAATTTAATAATATAATAATAATACATTTTTAATTATTGTTATAAACGTTATTTTTAATGCTTAAATTTATACTTGGTTTATCTATACTGTTAACGCAAAAAATATAGCTGACTGGTTTAAAAAACATAAAAATTTTATTAAATTAGATTAAAACGTATAGTAAAAAATTGCTCTATCTCTATTACTACTTAATTTAGAATAAAAATATGGTTGAAGGTAAAATATTCTAAATTTAATTCTCTACAAAAACACATCTTTAGTTTTTTCGAAAAAAGTTATTTAAATGGAGATATTTGAAAAAAATGAAAAAATCCATGATGGTTTTTCTCAAACTTCCCTCACTGGGACCGAATGAGACTTTTGAGGGGTTAAATAGGAGATCATTATCTACACATTCCCGTTGAGATCGGTTGGTTACTAATTTTTTCCACCTCAACCTCCAGATTGACTGGCCTAGTTGTTCGGTTTCGCTTTTGCACTTTCAACATATAGGAACAACATATAGGAGCGAATCACTGTGTTTGCCGTATCAGTCACGTTTTGGCCAGTCACGGTTTATTCTTATCTTGGTAACGACCATGATCCGTTATTTTATTTCACGGTGACATAATCACAGATAGCGTATTTTTGCCCAACTTTTCTATGAAAATATGCTCCAAAATGGGTTTCTCATAAACTAAAAATATAGTAAATACTAGGAGGACCATTTTAGAAAAATGAATCACTTCATTTCGTCATTGGAATTCCTACTAGAATTTGTGTAGCGGAGGGGTTAGTTTTCACTCTCTCCGAACCCATTTTGATTTTATGTGAAAGTCACATGTTATTTCGATTAGCAAAACATAGACACCCTAAATCTAATTCAAATCGGAATATAGGTTCTTAAAAAATGTGTTATTTTTTTTAAGTTTTTGAAATTGAGGTAAATTGTGTTAGGTTAGAAGAAATTAAGATAAATTGTGTCCAATGAAATTGATTCCAAAAATACGTAGTAGTTCTAGGCCCACGGAATATTCGGACGCCCTGTATAATTATATATTTTATATAAACGGTAAAATGTAGATACGATACCGGGTACGTCTCAAAAGTGGCTCACCCCTATAACTTTTTTACTTTTTCAGATAAAAGAACGAGATTTGGTAAGTAGTATATGACATAAATTGACATCCTCTAATTACACGAGCTTGGGTATCTAACATCATTCCAGATGATTAAACTCCCTAAAAAAGGAGATACCACTAACTGTGACAACTGGAAAGGTATTGTTTTGTTAAACACCATTCACAAGATAATATCCTCTATAGTTCATTTAAGGTTAAACTCCTATATAGAGCCTACTCTGAGAGAGAACGAAGCTGGTTTCCGACCGAACCACTCGTGCATTGACCATATTAACACATTGCGCATTATCATAAAGCAGTCAATAGAATTTAGGTCACCTTTATTCTTATTATTCATAGATTTCGTCAAAGCTTTTGACGGTATCCCCCATGCGATAGTATGGAAAACTCTAAAAGAAAAAGGTGTTCCGGAAAAACTAATTAATATAATCAAGGAACTCTACAGAAACACAGAATGCAATGTGCTGCACAACGGCAACGGTAGAACCAGCGACAGTTTTAACTTAGGGACAGGAATAAAGCAGGGTTACACATTATCGCCGCTTCTATTTAATATCGTACTCGACAGCGTTTTGACTAAAGCCACAGCAAATATTAGGGGAGTACAATGGACTCTGACATCGCATCTGACGGATCTTGATTATGCTGATGATATCTGTCTCACAACGCAATCCTTCAAAGACATGGAAGTGATGCTCAGACGTCTAAAAACAGAAGCAGACAAAGTAAGATTAAGCATAAACATCGACAAAACAAAGTCAATGCGCATTAACACAAACAACAACACTCCATTCAATGTAGGAATCAAACATGTCGAGAATGTAACAGAGTTTACTTACCTGGGAAGTATTGTAACAGCAAACGGTGGCGCAGACGCGGATTATTGTCAGCAGGATCAGGAAGGCGCAGCGAGCCTTTGGCCAACTAAAATCAGTTTGGACCTCCCGTCAACTCTCCATACAAACAAAATTAAGAATATTCAATTCCAACGTCATACCAGTTTTATTATATGGCTGCGAGACATGGAGAGTGACAAAAATATCCATCAACCGTCCACAGGTTTTTATCAATCGCTGCTTGCGGAAAATACTTAAAATCTTTTGGCTAGACACTATACGTAACACCGACCTGCTTTATCTTACAAACCAACAAGAAGTAGGCATTGAAATCCGCAAAAGAAAATGGGGTTGGAGTAAAAAAATATCGAGGGTGCCATTTAAAAATCAAAAGTTGTAGTCATTTCCGGTGAAACAAAAAGTGACCGAAAACAATTGAATATGTCAATCAATCCTAATTTATGTCATATATACTAACTTACCAAATCTCGTTGTTTTATCTGAAAAATTAAAAAAGTTATAGGGGTGAGCCACTTTTGAGACTTATCCGGTATAATAATAATGGCCGTTCTCTGTTAGATTCTGTCATTTAGTTGTTGGACAAGAAGCCGTCTGTGTGGGAATAAATTCAATAATGAGACCACAAGATACCATAATAACATCCTACAGATGCCATGGCTGGGCTGTCTTGAGGTGTGAAAGCATATCTGGTGTTATTGCAGAACTTCTGGGTATGGTATATAAAAAATATATCTCTTTTTGATTATTACCAGCATAATATAGGTTTTCAGTCTGGGGCGGCTAGAGGGAAAGGAGGGTCCATGCATATTTATGGTCCCCAATTTTTCGGAGGAAATGGAATAGTTGGGGCTCACGTACCTTTAGGTGTTGGTATTGGTTTAAAACACAAATATACAAACGATGGTGCTGTTAGCGTTGTGTTGTATGGCGATGGAGCTGCTAACCAAGGACAGGTATGTGTTTCACTTGAAACCCAAAGTACCCAAATATATTTATATCATTCTACTATATTTTTCTATATTTTTTTATATGGTCCACATTGTTCCAAAGAAATTCTGAAACAGACTCGCAGGGTGGAGTCGCTATACTCATCTCACCTAAACATCGGAAGAATATTACAGAGTTCAAATCCATATCAAATCGAGTAATTTTCGCTGCTTGAAGTATACGCACCAACTGCATCTTCTGACGAGGACGAGATTGATGACTTTTATGATAATATAGAGAGAGCCTTAAATACATCTCAAACATATTTTACCCTCCTTATCGGTGACTATAATGCTAAGATAGGCAAATGGGAGAAAGACGATGGCCCATATATAGGGAAATATGGTCTAGGACAAAGAAACGAAAGGGGCGAAAAACTTCTTAACTTCCTTCAACAACACAACATCTATGCAATGAACACCTTTTTCAAAAAAAAACCGAATAGAAAATGGACCTGGGCTAGTCCCGATGGATCAACAAGAAATGAGATTGATTATGTCCTATGTAATAAAAAACACATTGTTGAAGATGTATCGGTAATCAACCAATTCTCTACTGGCAGTGATCATACATTAGTTAGAACTGGAATTAAAATCAACACATCACTAGAAAGAAGAAAACTCACCAATACTAAAAGACAACACCTAAATCTGACCAACCAAGATACCCCTAACTACCAAATCGACCTAAATAGAAGACTATCCAATATGCGAAACGCGGAAGACCTGTCATTGGATAATCTGGTACAACAAACAACCTCCCAGATTATAAATAGTACCAGGAATACCGCATCAAGATTAAAAGTTGCCAGAAACCCAAAAATATCCCCAGAAACACAACAACTAATGATGGAGAGACGGAAGCTGGATAAGAGCACATCACAATACAGAGAAATGAACAGGGTAATTAATAAGGCTATACGTAAAGACACCAGAACTTACAACACGAATATGATAAAAGAATGCATAGAACAGAATTCCAATATGAAAGTACTTAGAAGGAACAGACTCGGAAGCAAAAATAAAATTTACCAACTGAAAGATTCGGAAGGCCACCTAGTCTCGACCACAGATTCAATGCTGACGGTGATTGAAAAGTTCTATACAACACTATACAGCAAGCAAATAACAACGATCAGCGAACCAGATGCCATGGCTGGGCTGTCTTGAGGTGTGAAAGCATATCTGGTGTTATTGCAGAACTTCTGGGCATGGTATATAAAAATATATCTCTTTTTTTGATTATTACCAGCATAATATAGGTTTTCAGTCTGGGGCGGCTAGAGGGAAAGGAGGGTCCATGCATATTTATGGTCCCCAATTTTTCGGAGGAAATGGAATAGTTGGGGCACACGTACCTTTAGGTGTTGGTATTGGTTTAAAACACAAATATACAAACGATGGTGCAGTTAGCGTTGTGTTGTATGGCGATGGAGCTGCTAACCAAGGACAGGTATGTGTTTCACTTGAAACCCAAAGTACCCAAATATATTTATATCATTGTACTATATTTTTGAATTAATTATTATTTCAACCTGGTTAGGGTACCCAATACGTAAATAAACCTATAATGTAATAATAATTATATTCCATTATACAGGGTATTATCACGGCATATATATCACACGGCAGGCCGACTCGCTTTGGCGGGAACGCTACGCGCATATCCTCGCGCACGCCGCCATTTGCGTTTCCATCAACAGAAAGTAACCAGTGTCGTAGTTTTTTCAGCGACAACACACAGTTACGGCAGATTCGGGTCAGTAGCGTGCGGCTTAATTTATTTTGATTTTTTCTTGAGTGATATATTTTGTTTTTGTTGTTTTATTTTTGTTTATTATGTGATATATTTGGGTTTTCTAGTTTTATTTTCGTTTCTTATGTATTATAATTGCTAAAAGGTGACCGGTGGCGTAGAGGTACAGGCTCTCGTCTACCAATCTCAAGGTTGTGGGTTCGAATCTCACACCCGGCATTTCATCAGCCGACAATTTTTATTAAAATAAAAATAGTTTGGGTACCTAGGTCGATTCAGCCTTAAATGAGTACTTGGGATTCACAATCCTGAGGTAACGCGAAATTTCGAGAAATAATAGGCGGTTGAAGCGTAGTGCTAGCCACATTACCTTCCTTTGTATACCGAACGGCTCTAGTATGGCAAGCTGTACCTTGCTACTCCCAAGGCGTCAAACGCTTATACGGGAGCTAGTATTATTATAATGTAATATAATTTGTTTTAGTAGTTTTATTTTTGTTGTTCAAGAAAAGTTTCTTTCTGTTTCCTAGAGATCCTATTAGGTTTGTATATATGTGATTAATTATTTTAACATATTTTAGTTGTGAAAAAAAAACAGTAGTATACATATTAGGACATTCAGCTAAATAGGAAGATCTAATTAAAAATTTTAACAAACTTTAATATTAGTAAGATTTAATGTTAAATATTTAGTAAAATTTAATGTTGTATCTAGACATTAAAAACTAAATTTAAAAATCATTATACTATTAATTTAATTATAATTATAAAAGTAAATAAAATGAGTATATCTAAAATAAGTTAACAATACATTTTGAATATATAAATAAGGCCCACAAAAGGTACAAGTTGCGTTCTGTTCATTTTGAATTTAAAATGTTTACCAATTCACTTTGTAACCGTATAAAATACAATGCGGTACCTACTTCGTTGCGGTCCTGCCATGAAAAAAATAGAAGTTTCCAAAAAAATTGTGGATTTATTAATTTGTGAAATTTGAATATTAATAAAATTTGCTACGCCCATTGATGGGCATAATTTGTACGTAGCGTCTTTATATTGTTCAATAAATATTTTATTGGTATTTCTTTAATTCTTGTTTGTAACTCCTGGCATGTTTTTGTTAGTTGCATGTTTTTTAATTTTAATTGTCTATTCTCTACAGTGAAATATTTAATTGATTTTTTTCATTTTTACTTGTCGAGAAGTATGCGCGGTTAAGGATTCATTTGTTTGGACAAAAGTATTGTGTAAATAAAATTCAATTTCAGTCAATTACAGTATTTTTTTAATACGACCCTGTCGTATTTTCTTAGAAATTTTTTGATACGTTTTAATCCGGCCCTGACTAGGAAACGATAATGGCTCCGTCAAGGTCAAATTTTATAGAAATTTTAAATAAAGGAATCTGAGCAGAGTTGGCGTGCCGATTGTTTTATGTGCCGTGGTATTATGATCTGTCATCATCATTATCATTTTTAGCTTATTCAACCATTTTCAATTATGGTGTAGCCTCCTTCACATACTCTTTTTCTAGTAGAGCCTATTATTGTTGTCTATTGTAAGCTATGCGGTCCCAAGTTATCCCTGATAATTTCCTAATATCATGGTCCCATCTCAGGTTCGGTCTTCTTCTAGGTCTCTTAATTCCTCGGTGGGTACCATGCTGTAATTTTTGTGGTCCATCTGTTGTCCGTTCTTCTTGCCAGGTGTCCTGCCCATTGCCATTTGAGGTATCTGACACTGTGGATAACATCTATTACCTGGTTTTTTTGTCGTATCCATTTTTTTGTCGTATCCACTCTATTCTTTTACGGTCTCTTTTAGTTATTCCCAGCATATTTCGTTCCATTAAGCGTTGTGCGACCTGCAGTGTCCTTATGATGTCCATTTAAAGTGTCCACGTTTTGCATGCATATGTCATGACGACTGGTAGTACACATTGGTCGAATGTTTTCTTCTTTATAATATCATAACTCTAGATCATAATATATACTTACGTGGATAAGTAAATCACTATGGAAACTGTCGCAAACATATCAACGTCTTCCATTTATCTTCTTTTTTTGTTGCACACGCGATGCTTCTACTCTATCTATCCTTGTCGAGGACCTATCGTCCGTGCGCCAAATTTGAATATTAATTTTAATTGAACAATAAATTGGATATTTACTGTCACAGAAATTAAATTATATAAAAAGCACATTTAGGCACTCCATACGAATATCAATATTCTTAAGAAATCTAACCAGAAAGTATGCATGTGGCTTAATATAAATAAAAGAACAACTGAACACTTTACTTGCCTATGAAAAGATAATTCGGGGACCTTTATATTAGAACTTTCACACACTAAACACTTTCTAGCCATTTTAAGGAGTATTTAGAAAGTCCAACCAACGGAAAAAAAAATAGAAAAATAGTTGCACAAACTTAAAATTAGCTTTTCACTGAACACACTTGCATCCATGGCTATATAAAAAGGTCGATAAATGAGTATTAAATACAATTAAAAAAAAAACGCAAAAAAGAAGCGTCGTTACACAATGGAAATAAGATTATGACATGATTATGACAATATGATGACAATGAAAAGTTGGTTTCTATAACAATATATAATTTGTACTTTCTAAACCGTATAAAAATGTGATTATTTTGGAAATACGTATATACGTCTTCGAGGTAGACAAACCTAATGAACGTTTCATAAATTCAATAAAGTAGGTTTGAAAATGGTATGTCGTGATGTTTGAGATATATATTTTTTAACGCTAAACTTATGGCGTTGATTTATCCACGTAAGTATATATGATGTGGGATCATAACCAACTGTTACTATGCGTCAAGAAGTTTCCAATGTTACATTTTATATAAAAGTATATCTATAAATACTGAAATAAAAGAATCTTAAGGATGTATTTAGCGATTCAACTTCTCCATTCAAATGGATTTGTACTAATTTGTTTGATACTGTTGAGAAAATATAAAATAATAGTTAAAAAGTTGAATACCTGTTGAATGCATATAAGTGTAAATAACTAACTGAATTTTGTTCCATAGGTCTTTGAAGCGTTTAATATAGCGAAACTATTAATGCTGCCTGTTTTGTTTATTGTTGAAAATAACTATTACGGGTTGGGAACGGCAAGTCATAGGAGTTCTGCCAATCCGGAGTATTATAGAACATGTAGCTTTCTGCCAGGTATACGATGCAGTGGAATGGATATATTAACCGTTAGAGAATCGACAAGATACGGATTCAAACATATTTTAGATGGAAAAGGCCCGATAATTGTTGAAATGATGACTTACAGGTTCGTTGTTTTTTAAAGAATTTTAGAACTGAACTAGAACTTTTAATATTTAAATGTATGGTTTTGCGTACAGGAAACCTTCAGAATATTGAAAATCGCTCGTGGGTAAATAACAAATTGTAGGTTGTTGTTGCAGTTACTGGTTTTAATATTTATTAAAATAAAATAAAAATGATTATTTAAAACAGTAACTTTATAAAACCATTGATTGAAAGAATTAGAAAGACACGCAACACAATGGGCGAATTTATGATAAAGCTGATTTGATTTCCCCTTACGTCTCAACTGCTGTACGGTGGACTCACCACTTGCTCTGCAGCCAACGCATAAAACACTTATTTTCTCTAAATCGGCCAGCAAAGGTCCAGCGGGTACCCAAGACGGTATGGAACTGAAAGTGACAGTGTTACCATATTAAAATGTAATATCTGTAATGCCTTAGACGAAAATATCTTTGGATGAAAAATCTGCGTTTATACACCTTTTTTATATAGGTGGGTTCTGGTTGCACCTTATATGGAACCGGCCAGGGTATTGAATATTTATTCGTGTTAAACATAGAATAAGCAACAAAAATAAAAATTCTTTTATAAGTACCGAATATTTCGTACGATCGAACAAAATCGTTTAGTTGGCTTGGAAACAATAATTACTAAATAATGATCACAAATAAATAATGATCACAACCTATTTAAAGTAATAAATACTTTGGCAAATAAACTATGAACCATACAAATGCAGTAAATGTTTTACAATATACAAATAATGAATAGGTACATAAGATAACGGGTGAAATGTAAAATATATTTTAAATTTTGGGGTTTGAAAATCGATTTAATTTAACAACAAACATTCAATATCTACTAATAGTGATGCATTATTATTTGCATTACAAAATTTATTTGTATATTTTGCAAGCATCTTTGTTGAAAAATTATATTTGCAAATAATGCAATATCAGAGAAAAAAAGGCATCAGCGATGGCTATGAAATAAAGATCGCTGTAATTTTATATGTAAATTATTACATATAAATATTATTATTATTATTTTTAAAATACAAACCAAAAATACGAGGAATAATTATGTTTTCCATGTATTTCTTCTACAACATATTTATTAATCCGTAGTATCTATCTAGCGTGACGTCATAAATCTCGCTCCGAGGCTGTTCTATTAGAGACGGCATTGGTCTGATATTTAGAAATGTCAAAGCTTTGACAATTATGACATTTCCTGTTGATTTTTGCAAGAAGAGGAAGAACTGTCACTTGTTTTATTATTTTCCTTTTCTATTTCACGAAAGTAAAAAGAGTTACCTATCTGATTCGTTCAGGCACTCAATTTAAAAAATATCAGCAACTTTTTTGATAGAGGGATTTTATATTGACTTAAATTTTAGAAAGAATAGAACGAAAATGGTGAAATTCTTAGGAACTATAATACTAGAAAAAAAGCTTGCAAAATATAGTTTCACTAACAATTATTAGTAAATTTCTCTCCTGACACAATAAACCATTAATATGTTGTTTGTAAAAATTTTAGATATTTTGGCCATTCTATGTCAGATCCAGGAACAAGTTACAGAGACAGGGATGAAATTAGCAGCGTCAGGGAGAGAAAAGATGCCATTCAGCATATGAAAAACATGCTTGTAGAAAGTAAGCTAGCCACTCCGGAAGAAATCAAAGCAATAGAAACCGAAAATAAGAAATTAGTAACAGCAGAAACAGAAAAAGCGTTCAAAGATAAAGAAACACCGGTAGAAGAACTAACGGCTGATTGCTATAAGTCATTTCCGTTCCCAATGAGAGTGCCTAAAATGCACACATGGATACCACATAAAAATATTGGAAAATATGGCTCTGTATCAAAATGATTTATTTACAAGTATTTTACATAGTATATTGAGTAAATAAAAAATAATACTTTTTAAATTATTGTTCAATATCTCAACATTTTTTAGTCATTATTATTTATTTGCCCAACATATTTTTTTAATTTCTATTTCCCGGCACAAAATTCCGCCACTCTAAAAATTTGACAAAGTTTCATGCTTCATAACTTTTTATTTTGTAATCCGATTTTTCTGAAAAAATAAAAAAGTTATAGGGGGTGAGACACTTTTGAGACGCAATCGGTATACCCATTTTTACAAAATCGCACCTCATATAAAAAAAATTTAATTTTGCATTTAAAAAATTGTACAAATAGTATTACATTTAATAATAATTTAATATAATTTTTAGTCATTCAAAAAAAATGAGATAATGGACTTCACTCTATTGTTGACTTACCTCGTACACGAATAGAAACGCATATGCATTTTCATTTTCTACAACAAAAGAGACAACTCCAGTTCAAATTTCATCCAACATTCCTTTTCGAATATTCATAAAAATGTAAATATTCTAATATCGCACATGAGTGCAGGGTTATGAGACTCTGCCACGATACCAAGGAATGTTACACCACCGAAATAGACATTGAACATCTGCATAGGTAGAAATTATGTGCGAGAAAAGCTGACGTAATTGGAAATTTTTTGGTGTCCTAACAACGAAATATGGGCGTAGATTGAATTTTTGTTCAGAGACGGTGTATTGCACATTTTTGTACCAAACATGGAATATTAAACAGGGTGTTTCAAAATATGTGCCATCTCTCGTCAGGATATTCTTCATATAAAAAGAAGATTTATTTCTTTCATTGACATAGGTCTGATTCAGCTTTGTTTCGTAACTACAGGGGGTTAAAGTCTTGTTTTTTTTTCGATCTATTACAATTTTCTTCCAACTTGCTTATAGTGATTTGAATAATAAAATTTTGGCCTCAACTTTCGTTTAGCTGAAATCTGTTATATAAAAAATGACTATACACGTGTGGCAAAATTTCATTAGCAATAGGAGCTTTTCAATGCGATAAAAAAAGATGGTAAGGCTGCAAAATACACTGCAGTACAACAGAGACGGATAAAGTGTCTTTTCCCTACCATTGTATAGAGGGGAAGTGATCATAGAAGTGATACGACGAGAGAGCTTCTGCGTGAGGGGCGGGTCTTTAAGACGCTTGTGTGGGGGCTACCGGCTACTAATAGAATAGAATGGAAAAAATAGAAAGACGAAGGACAGTGTTGCCATTCTGTTAAATCAAAATTATGTTGGCTTATTCTAAATCCCGAATCTTCTAATCCCATTATCTTGCCTACTTAATGAAATATTAAATAAAGTACAAAACAATTTTAAGAATGTTTTCTCTAGGCACATAACAACTTCTTTCTAAAACAAAAAGTAACATGCAGAAGTTTGAAATCATTTCTAAAATAGCAAGTGCAATTCTATGAAATGGCAATACTGTACGATCTTTCCTTGCAGTCGCCCCGACACCGACCGGTCGGTCGGCGGCGGCGACAAAGGAAGAAGGCCGAAAAAACTTTATAAAGGAGTAGCCGAACAGGGTTGCCAGGTTTATTAGATTATAATTCCATACGAGAACAACATTCTCGGTAGATCTTCAACAAAAATCAAAAGTACAGAAACAAAATAAAATATAATATTTAAGTCCAAAATTAGCATTCCTATGTGTCGTAATACTAGATCACTCAAATAAAATACAAATATAGTAAATATAACAAGAATTAGAAATAGGTAGGTATATTATATTCAGTGCGAGATTCTGAATCATACGTTCTACTCGCCTGGGGTAGTTTTGTTTTAAGGTTCGACATTTCGTGGTTTAGAGGTTTGGTAATTTCTAGGCCACGCTTTTGATTAGAAAATTTTGAGGTTTGGATATGAGAATGGGATGGGACAGTGATTTCCCCAGTATGGTCTTGGGAGATAAGCTATAAGGCTCGCGTGGGCAGGGGCACGTGCCTGCGTGACATTAAGGAAGTGGCAGGTAAACGGTGGTTAAATATAGCACAAAACAGGGAGTCATGGAAAAGGATAGGAGAGACCTATATCCAGGAGTGGATGAATCCGGGTTGAGGTAGAGGTATATTATTTAATATTAAAAAAAATATATTGAATTAAACAATATTAATATATTAATAAAAACTATAACAAGTAGGGATAGCAGTCACTTTTTACCTTTGTACAAATTTTGATCAGTGATATCTAAAATTAATTTCAATGGGAAAGCTGTAGCAACTCTCAACTCTTTTTTCATATTAATATATTTTTTTGACAGGAAAAGCACTAAAATATTTATTCGTATTCAGTTTGTTTCTTAACTTAGATTTTGTTTTTTGTTTATATTTTTTGGGGGAAAATATGGGTTTAACTTTAGTAAATGAATGAAACAAAATCTTTTCAAAAGATATCAACATCTTCGGGCATATCGCCAATACCGCGCCTAATAAAGAGTAATAAGGATTTGTAGGAATATATTTGTCACTCTGCAACTAGACAGAACGATGACCTATGATTACTAAATAAAATTTAATAAACAATAATAAAGTCAGATTAGACTAAAGACGCAGTTGAACATATCGTTAGATTTTTGTTTAAATCGGTAGATCGGTAGCTTACAGACGAAACCGGTAGACCTGGCAACTCTGTGTGGACTGAGGTGATGGCGTTTTGCGGAGGCGCGGGAAGGGAAATAAAATAATGGTGATAAAGGGCAGGTGGATATCATGGGTGGTTGGGAGGCGGCGGAATTTCCAAAATTTGTTTGTCTAACTCGACAGTCGTAGTGGAAGTGGAAACGGGGAAGTTGTTGTCCATCTCTGTTTAAGCTTAGACTTTTTATAGGCGTTTCATTCCAATGCATGTAATTCCTATGCCTAGATATCCTATTACCGGACCTGTATATGCGTTCTAGAAGGCGTTAGGAGTACAAAAATATACAAAAATTTTGCTGCGGAAATGCGTCATTTTCATTTTTCGGACTTTAGTATAGCCGAAATCTGTTACATCAAAACTAGTCTTCGGGGTGTGTTTTAGACATTTTTCTAAACATAAAAACACAAAAAAGTGTCTGCGGAAATTTTTTATTTTTATTTTACATAAAAAAATCCTCTGACTTTAGAATAGCCGAAATCAGTTACATGAAAAATGAACTTATATTTGTTTTATAGGAGCCTTTACGAGCAAAGAAATACAAAAAAATTCCTGCGGAAATGTGCCAATGTCATTTTGTGCACTTTGTTTTTCATACATTTTTCAGTTTAGAAGCTTACGGGACCCGGGAGCGAATAGAGGAATTCGGAGGAATAACAATTCTTGTAGAATAGATAATATAGGTTCTTGTAAACTATAAGTATCTCGAAATGTTGTACTTATTCTTGTTTTTTTTTTATTAAAGCTTTACGTAAACAGGGCTGATTCAAAACAAAAAATCATTGGATCATGCAGTTTTCTTTTATATTTTAATAATTAACTGTGATTTTGCAAAAATATTAGATTGGTTAGCATTTGGGTTGCTTTGGTTAGTTTTTTTTGTGGAGGGTATTAAGCTGTGGTTTTTATAATTTAATAATTAACTTTGATTTTGTATAAAAATATTATTAGATTGGTTAGCATTGAGACACTTTTAATTTTTTTTTTCTTTGGTTCAAAAGTGCTCCATTCAAGGATTTTTTTCTTTTAAACTGTTCTATAGGACTTTCTGCCCAAAAAAAAGCTAAATTCGTGAGTACTTATACTTTACATGACCAGATAATATAATAAGGAGCAAATGAAAAATCAAAATCAAGCATTTCCACAGGAATTTTTTTATTTTTGCTGAGTTTGTAAACGCTTCTAACAGGCAAAAATATATTTAGTTTTTATATAACTGATTTCAGCTATTCTAAAGTCTAATAAATTTCCTTAGAAAATGAAAACAGCTTATTTCCGCAGGAAAATTTGTGTTTTCCGTGGTACACAGTAGCTTTTTAAAGACAACATTTTTTTTTTCTAATAACCGATTTCTGCTAAAGCCAAACCCAAATTTTGAAGGGGAAAGTTACTATAAGTGAGACATATTTTAATGCTAAAAAAGTGTCGACAGATTCATTAGGTACGTGCATAATATGCACGTCCCTGGTAAATTTTTGAAAAATAATGAGACAACATTTACTTTACCTTTAATACCATTCTTTGTCACAAAACTTACGAACCAAAGTAATATCAATGCGTCTCGAATGGTAGTCTCAAAGCTGTCTTTGAGACTATGGTAGTCTGGTCTAAAAATTGTAGTCTCAAAACTTACTTTGTTAATGTGGCTAAAAATTTAGTGAACACCATAACTCCTTGCCATGATTCACTTTCATATCTCCCTAAAGCAAATGAGAATTTACACAGTTTCTTCCTCACGCCCGTAGCATTAGATGAGCTACGTAGTACAATTAATAGTATTAAAAACAAATCCTCATCTGGGACTGATGGGCTTACTCTCAAAATGTTCTCTGAACTTCCTGAATGCACATTAAACCATCTTACTACTTTAATTAACGAGTCATTCCAAAAAGGAGTTTTTCCAAACTGCCTTAAGACAGCAATAATTATTCCTCTGTATGAAGGAGGTGATAAAGATGAAGCTTCGAACTATCGCCCATTGCACTCCTGCCCACATTATCTAAGATCATTGAAAGATTGGTTAAAAAAAGGTTTCTATCTTTTCTCCTTAAATATAAAATACTTACTACCCATCAATTTGGATTTCTAAGTAACAGTTGCACAAATGATGCTATGTTCGACCTTTTTAATAATGTATGCTCTAGCCTGAATAACCATCACTCTACAGCTACAATTTTCTGTGATTTCTCTAAGGCTTTCGATTGTGTAAATCATAATATCTTAATTAACAAATTGCAATACTATGATTTCAGGGGAGTGCAGCTCGAATAGTTTAAGTCATATCTTGGCAACAGAAGGCAGCTTGTGAGGATTGATACGTCTATGTCTTCTTGTAAGCCTATAGAATGTGGTGTCCCTC